GAAATGAACCTCACTTCACATCATGCATGTTTTTATTTGATTTGCTAATATTTTGTTTAGGACTTTTCTATGTTCATCAGAGATATTGGCCTGTAATTTTCTATTTTTGTGTCATCTTTGACTGGTTTTGGTATTAGGGTAATGTTGCCCTAGTGGAATAAGAAAGGAAATATTTCTGCTCTTCATTTTTTTTTAGAAGAGTCTGAGGATAAGTATTACATTTTTGAATGTTTGGTAGTATTTGCTAGTGAAGCCATCCTGTCTAAGACTTTTGCTTTGGGGGATGGTTTTCATCACTGTTTCAATTTCCTTAGTAGTGGTCAGTTTATTCCAGTTTTCCAGTTCTTGGTTCGTTCTAGGAAGTTTATATATTTCTAAGGATTTGCCCATTTCTTCTAAGTTATAGCCTTTCGCATTATTCTTTATATTCACTTGTATTTCTGTGGTATCTGTTGTAACTTCTCTTTCACTTCTGTTTTTGAGTCCTCTCCCTAGTAAGTCTCCACATATTTGGGTTTTATCCTAGCTTTATTCTTGTAGTTAATTTCCATGTCATACCGTTGTGATCAGAAAGTATGCTTTGTATGATTTCAGTCTTCTTTTATTTAGATTAGTTTTGTACCATAACATATGGTTTATCCTTGACAATGTTTTATGTGTGCTTTAGAAGAATGTGTATTCTGTTGTTTGGTGATGGAAAGTTCTAAAATTATTAAGTCTATTTAGTCTGATTTCTCATTTAAGGCTGATACTTCCTTATTGACTTTGTTTGGTGATCTATCCATTGCTGTCGATTGGATATTCAGGTCCCCTATTATAAGTGTATTTCTGTCAGTTTCTCCCTTTTAGGACTTTTTTGCTTTATATATTTTGATGCTCTCGCATTAGGCACGTATATGTTAAGTGTTATGTTTCCTTGATGAATTGTCCTGTCTATCATTATAAAATGTTCATCTTTGTTTCTTGTTACCTTTACTCTTAAAAATCTGATTCCATTTGTGTAAGTACTACCATACCCATTTTTCTAGAGGCTGTTTTAAGTATCATCTTTCATCCCTGAACTTTGAGCCTATGTTTGTCTTTGGAGCCTAGATGAGCCTCCTGCCAGCAATATATAGGTGGATCTTATTTTTTAATTCATCCCACTACTCTGGGCCTCTTCATTGGTGAATTCAGTCCTTTAACATTTAAGATGATTATTGATATATGAGGACTTTCTAAAGCCATTTTATTTTTATTTTTTCTGATTGCTCTGTGTCTCCAGGCCCACCCCACCCCCCCCCCCCCCCCCGCCGCAGTGATTGTCTGCTCTTTTAGTTTGACAGTTTTCAGTATTTTTTCCTTTGTTTCCTCTTTGTTTTTTGTGTCTCAGGTCTGATTTTTGTATTATGGTTACCATTAGGTTTTTGTAAAATGTCCCATATACACATTAATCCTTTTTTCTTCTGATTGCCTCTCATCTTCATTCACCTATACCCATCCAGTCCTTTTCCACCTCCATTTTTATGATTTCATTGTCACCAATTATCCCTTATTTTGTGCATTCCTCAGCAAATTGCAGTAGTTATTTTTCATGCCACTTTATAACTTTTGTGTCGTAATTAAATGTTTAGTAACTCATTCTGAAGCAGATTCTTAATTTCCTGCTTCTGTCTCTCAATCATCTTACTCAAAGTTTTGTATACTTTTATCTCTCTGTTTCTGGTATAAGAGCTCCTTTCAACATTTCTTGTAATGGAGGTCTAGTTTGTAGGGTTCATTTTTTTTTTTTTTCACTTGGTGCCTTGAGAATTGTCGTTAAGTAAGTTTTGACAGTTTGAATAACATATGTCTTGGAGAAGACTTCTTTGCATAATTAGGTTTTCTATTAGCTTCCTCTAAAGTCCAGTTCTTTCTCTAGGCTTGGGAAGTTTTCATCAATAATTTCTTTGAGTAGATTCTCTGCTCCCCTTTCCCTCTCTTGTCCTTCTGGCATACCTACTGTCCTTAGGTTGCCCTTTCTATTGTAAGCACATAGTTTTTAGAATTCATTTTTTTAATACTCTTATTTTTCTCTCTTTCCTCTGGACTGCTGTATTTCCAGCGTTCTCTAATGCATTCCTTATTTATCGAGTTTTTCATCCCTTTGGTAAAACATTTTTTTGGTCATTATTTTTATTTCTGAATTCTCTGTCACTTAATTTAGTTTTCCATGACTTTGGTTTCTAGAGAACCAAAATGAAACCAAATTTCATCTTCTCAAGTTACCTTGGTTGTTCGTGATTTGATGGATTGTTTCTGTTTCTGTGCATTTGAAGTAGTGCTCTTTTTTGTTCTGTAGATAACTGGTTTGCTGAATAATTCAGCAGGTCGATTGATAGGTAGGGTATATTTTTGTTTCCTGGTACAGGGTGTTATAGCACGTTTTTGTTTTCTTCTACCTGCACTATTTGCACTTCTGCGGCCTCAGTGCAGCTGCACGGCTTCAGTTAAGGAATGTGCCATGTCCCCTCTGTGACCTGCTTGCCTCATTTATGGGGTGCCACCAATGTAGTGGGGAATGTGGTGAGTCGTGGAAAACTGGTTGCGAGTTCCCAGAGCTACTCTATTTTTTCTGCTGTGTTTTTGACTTTACGGGGCTCTGCTGGGGCCTGTGAGGGAAAGGAGGCAGGTTCCCAATCTTGCATCTCTGCCTTTTTGTTTATAGCTTCACAGCCACCTCTACCCAGTTGCGCCATGATGGAGTGGAGTGGGGAAGGAGATGCCTTTTACAAGATAGGGACTCCTCTTGCCCCTTATACTCCAGGCTATAGTGTGAGGGCTCCATGCCATGCTTGCTGGAGTCACAGTGGATGCAGAACTGTATCGGCAGCCACTGTCCACGTCACTCCTCCCATCCTACCTCCTTACTTATTTCAACGTGCCCACCTTCAGATGCCCTGGTGGATGGATCAGGTGTGTTTGTATGTTCATCAGGGTCTCCTTGGTGGAGTTACAGCTGTTCAGCTTGTAGATTTAAAGGGAGAAACAGTGGAGTCTTTTCACTCTCCCATGATGCTGTCATCACTCCCTGTTTACTTGACATTTCTTATAGTAATAGAGCCAATGCATGCAACTTGAGAGAAACCATTTTCAACCTGTTAAGTTATGTATGTAGCTAGCATGTCTCCTTTTCATTCTCCTTTGAGAATGTAAAGCATTTAAAGATTTCCACTTTTGCTGACAGTAAGCTTATCTCAGCAAGTCCTATTCAACGTTGTTATTAATGAAGTAGATGATGACCCTGAGGGCAGGTCCATCAAGTTTGCAGATGTCACTAAGCTGTGAAGGAAGACAAACTATGGTGAATGACAGAAACAACATTTAGAAATCACTGTGACAGGTAGGAGAGATGAAATGGATCTAACAGGTGAAATACAATAAGGATAAACACGTTTTTCTCTTGTTCCCCCTAAACTACAGATTGCACAAGATGGGATAGGGCTTAATGGGGTTTTAGTCTTCATTAAGCTCAATGTGACATAATCTAAGTAAATACTGAAACAGACTGCATTAAAGAAAGTACTTAAAGTGACCATGAGTTTCATTTCACTCTGTGTTGGTCAGACCATTACTGAAGAATTATATTTAGTTCCCTAACTCAGCTACCATTTTTGAGAAATGGAGATGTAAATTTCTCAAATTATCAGGTTAAGTGTGATAATGCATAGAAAAAACTTAGCACATTTATGGTACAAATGTTAAGATTATGGTAAATGATGATTATTGGAAATACTCAAAAACTATTGAAGAGGAAGGCAACTATAAGTGAAAAGATTCTAAAGTATAGGGACTAGTCAAAAAATTAGAGATGTTTAATGCAGAGATGAGAATGATTCAATGGTGACATAAATGCTGTCTTATAAGAACAAAAGATATGAAATGTGACACGAGGGCTTGGGAATTCTATGATTACCAAAGGTGTGACCAAAGATCAATGGTCAGCAGCAATAAGTAGTCCAATTTTTAACATTTAGACATGTGCAGAGGTACATACCTTGAACGACTCGCATAGCGGTAAGTTCCTCGAGACTGGAGAGCTTCAAGCACAGGCTTAATGATATTTGAATATGATTGTTCTAGGTAGGATTTAAGTACAGGTCAAAGAGGTTGTGTTATGTGTCCTTCAAGGTACCCCTAGCCCTGAAATTCCTTTGTAAAAACTCAGCAAGACATTTATAAATGGTGACCACAGTTCTCACCTTATGTTTTCAACTTCATTGTCTGAAATGAGACGTTATTGTGAACAGACATACAAATGAGATATACTGCAAATTGTTTTGTATTAATATTCCAGTACTCTGGCCTTCAATTCTTCAAGTATCATTATATAGTACCTTTATTATTTCAGGCCATTACTTCAGAAATTATACTATGCTTATAACTTGGGGCACTGCCTCAAGGTGGCACCTGATTTTAGTCCCTTGCAATAAGTAACTTAAAGGCTGTCCTATAGAAGAAAAATCGTTTGAAACCAGAAGACCTGGTCGCGTTGCTTTGAGAATTGCTATACTGTATACATCTGTATACATCGTTTAGCCTCAGTTAATTCTTCTGTAAAAGGACTCAGTCAGAATTCTTCTGAGTTGAGGCAGAGATGAGTGCATTTAAATATGTTAGGTGCTATTGTTATGAACTGGGAAAAGTATAAAGCGTTGACTTTTCACTCAAATAAGTTTTTGACCATATCATTTTTATCTGCTCAGTTGAGTTATAGTTTTACTTAGAAATGAAATTTCTAAGAAACATTTAGAAAAAAAGTTTCAAATACATACTGACTTCTTTTATAAACTTAGAAATGTCTCCATTTTTACTTGGAATGCTCTGCAGGCAAGCTCAGAGAAAGACAGTGTGTGTATCTCTTGAAAAAAAGGAGTTGACCAGGGGAGTACTTTGACTCTAAAGTGTAGGTTTGGTTTTCATATAGCAGCTACTTATTGTTTTCTTCATGATGAAACCTCCTTAACCTCATTTCTAAACAGGATGGGAAGATATTCTGCCGACGGACAGCTTGTGATTGCCAGAATCCAAGCGTTGACCTTTTCTGTTGCCCAGAGTGTGACACCCGGGTCACAAGTCAATGTTTAGATCAAAATGGACACAAGCTGTATCGAAGTGGAGACAACTGGACCCACAGCTGCCAGCAGTGCCGATGTCTGGTATGTCAGCTTCCTTTAGGGAGTGTGAGCCCTTTATCTGGAGGGGTTACAAACTCAGTTACCTGTGGGCTTTAGTTTCCCACTGTTTGTAATCCAATGCAGGGAGTTTGGGTTCTCTTGCTAAGGAGCATGTGCTCTGCTTGAAGATGTTCAGATTCTGCTATTAAAATACTGTGCAAGACAAAAAAGAACATATTTACAGGACAGATTTAACCCAAGTTATGTTAGTTTACAACTGCTATTTTTTTTAGTAAATCCAGATTAAGAAAAATCTCTGCATGATAGAAAGCTTTCAAAACCTTTGCTAGGACTTGTAGTTCTTATAGAGCCAAATCTTTCATTTCTTTGGACATAACCATTAAAGATTTCAGTGTGAAAATAAAATAATAGAACTAGCAGGGACTGAATCATAAGGCCTAGATTTCAATCCTGGTTTTCCCATGTGCTAACTCTATGTGATTATCTTGGGCAAGTTCTAGCATTTCATTGATCATTTTGCTCTCAGTATACACAAACAGATGAGTACCTATTTCTTAGGGCTTTTATGAAGATTAGAGAATATATGTGAAAGACATAATCCATTTTTTCAAACTCCCATACAAGGACACACACACAACTATAGAATTAGCTTCCATATCCATCTGGAAATTTTCATGTCTTTTTCAAGAAGCCAGTTATCAAGTGCTCAGAAGAATTGGTATTAATTTTAGATCTGAAATTTTCATAGAATTTCAAAATTGTATTCTCTTCCATTCCCAGCCCCTAAGTTTAATATTTCATGGGGAAATTGAAGCAGTTGAACACATAATTACTTAAGAATAATGTAGGTCATATTTAATAAATATTCGTTTGTATGTGCCAGTCTCTGGATGATACAATGGTGGGCTTAATATACATGGCCTACCATGAAGCTGATTGAATAATTAGACATGAGTTTGCATAGATTATAATGAATGTCATGATGAGAGGAGAGGCTACATAAACAGTTCTGCTGGAGCCCCAGTTGCCAGATTCTGAGACCTGCTGGGGCTCCATTTGAACTGTAGTGTATAGTCTACTAGCTATATAGCATATTTAAAACCATTATGAAATGGTTCTGAATTTCCCCAACCTTAACTTTAAATTTGATACCAGCAACTCAGTTTATGATGTTGAATTATTACAGTGCTTCAGGTTTCCCTTTGACCTTAAAAGAGATGAATTTCTCTTTGTACATTAGCCAGTACCTTACCATCTTTTCATTTATTCATTTGATTAGCATTCATTGATCAAACTTGTGCTAAGCATTAGGGAGAGAAAGAAATAAGCCCCAAATCTGAAAGCTCAAAACCTAATGTGGAAATGTACTAATAATTATCATAACATTATAAAAAATTAATTAAGCAGACCCAGAGATAGGACCTCATTTTTCTGGGGCTACAGTATAGATGGTCATCAAAAGCATCTCAGATGAGGTGTTACCTATAGTAGCTCTTCAAGGAGAAAACACATTGTACCCATAATGGTGCTAAAGTAGAAACATTCAGTGAGGACAGTGGTGAGAATTAACCAATGTCGCCATGATAAAAATATAATAATTACTCTGTCCTCTGGGACTTTAGCAACAGAATCGTACATAAGAACAATGATGAGACATTTTTGGCTTTCTCTCCACAGGAAGGAGAGGTAGATTGCTGGCCACTCAGTTGCCCCAATTTGAACTGTGAGTACTCAGCCATCTTGGAAGGAGAGTGTTGTCCCCGCTGTGTCAGTGACCCCTGCCTGGCTGATAACATCGCCTATGACATCAGGAGAACTTGCCTGGACAGCTATGGCATTTCAAGGCTTAGTGGCTCAGTGTGGACAATGGCTGGATCTCCCTGCACAACCTGCAAATGCAAGGTAATTGGATGTCCCTAAGAGAACCATGCTGAGAACACTCACAGGAGGCTCGCTCCTGAGGTTTCTGGATGCACAGGTTCCAGGGGCCATGGTGGAAACACAAGTAGCATTTACTTCTCACAGGAAGTTAATATGTCTGAATGGATCATAGCTGCACTGTGCATAAAGGCAAATTACAAATGAACATAGAATAAAAGCAAGAGAGAGGACTATTTTAAACTATAGAATTTTAACAATTGAATCTAGGCCAAATTATGACAGCTTTAAGCTATTTTGACCTATACATTAAAAAGAGAAAAAAGACATGTTTTCATCCTGGAAAATTTTAAAGCTTGTTCATGAAGTTCTCAATGTTAGAAAAAAGTGCTCTATGAAGTTGTTTGCTCTGTTTAATTATCGTGGTGACCTGACACTGTTGATACAGGATTTAATTGTGATTATTTTCCCTGTCCTTTTGGAGAATTTCCCTTGAGGCTTCTTCATCATATGTCTTTAAACACTGACCCCTCCAAAGTTTATGAATATAGCTGACTTGAAGCAAGGGTAAGACAGTGTCAAATCTTTTCCAAGACATCTGTTTAAGATTGCCATGATTAAGCCTGTTAAAAATACTAGTCTATTTGAAGTCTATCAAATTCTGCCTCAGCTTCAGGCATCAGTGCAAGGTTCCCACCTTGTCTTGTTATACTCTTATAAATGTGGATTTTTTCTCCCTTTTCTGGAAAGTACCATCTTAAGATGCAGCCCCAAAAGAAAAAAAGATATCAAACTTCATATAGCAAAAGTGCCATGGTCCATGTGTACCTTCAGCCCAGCAAACAAAATGATCGGATGTGAAGACCTGTGTTATGTAGTATTAATTCTGGGAGATCAAGTTTGAGATTTATTTGAGGGGGGTAGATTATAGAGGAATATTTTTTACATTAATACATGTAATTGATTTTAATGAATTTCTAGTACTTATGCATCTAAATATGTACTGTTCCCTTCACAGTCACCATAAGAGACTGCAGTTATTCCTACAGGTTCCAACCTTTCTGGAACCCATGTTGGAGTTGCCTTCAGGTTATTGTGGTACTTTTGGTTAGATTTATTAATGGCAAATTATCATTCAGGGGTAAGAAATTACACTGCCAGTAAAACCCTGGAGCGTCTCATAAATCCTTTCTCTAGCATTTTTCTATAGCATTCCTGGAGTTTGCCTCAAAATGTAGATGGTCATTTTATATATAAAAGTGCACATTGCTAATTGATTTATCTATGTCTCAATTGCCTAACGCTTGTGTCTTGATGCACAGAATGGAAGTGTCTGCTGTTCTGTGGATTTGGAGTGTCTTCATAATAATTGAAGTATTTAAAATGGACTCATCATCGCAGGAGAAAAATGGACAAAATGACCATCCAACATGATGAAGAACAGTAGTTTTTGTTTTTGTTTTTCTTTTTTACCACAGACAGTTACCAAAGTCTCCATCTGAGGAAGGTGTTTGCCTTTTGGACCTACCACTTTGCTCATTCTTGCTAACTAGTCTAGGTGACCCACAGTGCAGTGCATTTAAGTCTATGGTTGTTAAGAGAAGTTTCCCGTGTTGTAAATCACGTTTCCCTAATGAGATCATTTGCAAATACATTTAAATGATCCCATAGTAAATATTGATGTATTTTTTTTTGGTTTATTTTGTGTACTAACATAAGAGATTCAGTTCCATTTATTTATATTTTCTTAATTTTTGGATCAAATTCTACAAATAAAGTTGCCTGTTGTGATTTTGTCCCACCCACTGCATCCTTAGTATTGCGATCCCTGTGAAATGCATTGATATATGTATGTAGAGTCTAATTGCATCATACTTATACTTCAAACTGTTCAACACAGATGACCATTCAGTTTAAGCTGAAATCAATTATGATAAAGAGGAAGACTACAATTATTTTTAAAAGAACTTTCTACTCTCTACCAAAGTGAAACAAATCTTAAGCCATAATTTAGAAGCAGCAATGCTTATATTCATTCCTAGTATTCATTCCTAGCATTAAAAGAGAAAGTATCTTTTCATCAGTTTTATATAGATTTTTTTTTTGGTAACTTACAAGGGACTTTCATACCTAGATTAATATGAATTATCATTATAGCACAGGTGAGTGTACTAGTCCTACATTACAAAAGAGTAAATTAATGTGTCCTGGTCAACCATATTGTTCGATCTAGTAGCCAGTGAAAAGGGACTATAACCTAGAAAGAAATGCCATTAGATTATTATCAGATTTCACAGTAGAAAAATTATAAGACGAGAGAATAGTATTCAAAATGTTGAAAGAGAAAAACCATGAGCTAATAATATATCCAGGAAAGTTATTCTTTAGACATGAGAGAGAAATAAAGGCTTTCTCAAACTAAAGCTGAGAGAACTTGCCACCACAAGACCTCTGTTACAAAAACTGTTGAAAGGAGCTCTTATACCAGAAACAAAAATACAAAAGCATACAAAACTTTGAGTAAGATGATTAAGACAGATGCAAGAAACTGCAAATCTACTTCAGAATGGGTTACTAAACAATTATAACAAAGTTAAAAGGGGGAGAAAAGTGGCATTAAAAATAACTATCACTACTGCAATTTGCTAAGGAATGCACAAAATAAAAAGGGATAATCGGTGACAATGAAATCATAAAAAAGGAGGTGGAAAAGGACTGGATGGGTATAGGTGAATGAAGATGAGAGGCAATCAGAAGTAAAAGGATAATTATGTATGGGACATTTTACACAAACTAAATGGTAACCATAATAAAAAAAAAATTCAGAGCTGAAACACAAAACAAAACAAAGAAAACAGGGGAGGAAAAAATAAAAACTGTTAAACTAAAATAGCACACAGAATTACAAGGGGAAAAAAATGCAGATACAGCAATCAGGAAAAAAAAAAAAGAAAATGGCTATGGTAAGTCCTCATATATCAATAATCGTCCTAAATGTAAATGGATTAAATTCACCAATGAAGAGGCCCAGAGTAGTGGGATGAATTAAAAAATAAGACCCAGCTATATGTTGCCTGCAGGAGACTCAGCTTCAAATACAAACATAGATAGGCTCAAAGTGAAAGGGTGGAAGATGATCCTTCAAGCAGGTAGCCTCCAGAAAAGTGGGTGTAGCAGTACTTACATAAGTGGAAACAGATTTTAAGAGTAAAAAAAAAAGTAACAAGAAACAAAGATGGACATTTCATAATGTTATGGGACAATTCATCAAGAAGACAGAACACTTATCAATACATATACACACAACCTGGGAGCACCACAATATATAAAGCAATTATTAACAGACCTAAAGGGAGAAACGGATAAAAATGCAATTAGAGTAGGGGACCTGAACTCCCCATTGACAGTAATAGATATATCAACCAAACAGAAAACCAATCAGGAAATATTAGCTTTAAATAACACATTATACCAAATGGACTTAATTGATAAATTAAGAACTTTCTCAAGAGCACACAGAACATTCTCAGGGATAGACAAAATGTTAGGGCACAAAATTAGTCTCAATAAATTTAAGATTTAAATTATACCAAGCACATTTTCCTACTGCAAAGTATGACACTGGAAATTAACTACAAAAAAATGCTACAAAAACCACAAATATGTGGAGATTAAACAACATACTATTAAACTATCGTGTTAAAAGAAATATAAGAAGAGATCAAAAGATAAAGTGACTATATTACATATTAAATTTCTTAGGAAGTTTATAGCCATAAATGCCTACCTTCATATAGACAATGGACTACTACTCAGTTATAAAAATGATGAAATACTGCCTTTTGCAACAACGTAGATAGATCTTGAGATGGTCATACTAAGCAAAATAAGTCAGATGGCATAGGACAAGATTCATTAGATTTCACTTATATGTGCAATATAAAACAGAAAGCTGCAAACATGCAAACAAATGCATAGACAAAGACAACAGTATGGTGCTTACCAGAGGGGAAAGGGTAAAGAGGGTAAGGCAAACAAATATATGGTGACAGAGGGGGACCAGACTTTGGGTGGTGAGCACACAATGCAATATACAGATAATGTATTATAGAAATGTATACGCGAAACATATAGTATTATTAACCAATGTTACCGCAATAATTTTAATTTCAAAAAGGTTCTTAAAGATCAGGGTTTGACAGTAGGGATAAACAAGTGGAGCCCAGAAGATTTTTAAGGCAGTGAAAATACTCTATGTGATACTATAATGATGAATACATGTCATTACATATTTGTCCAAACCGACAATATATACAACACCAAGAGCGAACTGTAATGTAAACTATGGACTTTGATTGAAGGTTATATGTCACCGTAGGCTCACCAGTTACAATAGATGTATCAATCAGGTGGGGGAAGTTAATGAGGAAGGCTATGCATGTGTGGGAGAAGGTAACATTTGAGAAGTCTCTATCCCTTCTTGTCCATTTTGCTGTGTTCCTAAAACTGCTCTAAAAAAAAGTCTTAAAGACAAACAAAAAGCGTTCTCCAGACTCTCAGAGGAACACCTATCATTCAAGTATGTGCGAGTAATTAAATACACTCCTTTTTTTTCTTAAATAGGCCTACCTCAAGAAAGAAAAATCTAAGTAAGCAATCTATCATTACACCTTAAAGAACTAGAAAAAGAAAAACAAAGCCAAAAGTCAATTAAAAAAAAAAAAAAAAGAAAGAAAATCAGAGTAGAAATAAATAAAATAGAATGCAAAAGGACATTAGAAAAAATTAATGAAACCAAGAGCTGGTTCTTTTCAAAGATAAAGAAAATAGGCAAACCTCTAGTCAGACTTACTAAGTAAAAAAGAGAAAGACTCAAGATCAAAAATGAAAGAATTTAAGACAGACACTACAGAAACAAAAAGGATTATGTAAGAGTAGTTAGTAAGGCTATATGCTGCCAAATTCAATTAAAAAATGGGCAAATTCTTAGAAATATATAAACTTCCTGGAATGAACCATGAAGAATTGGAAAATATAAGTAGGCTGATCACTACTATGGAAACTGAAACAATAATGGAAAATCCTCCTGAAAAACAAAAGTCCTGGACAGCATGTCTTCACTAGAAAAGTCTACCAAATATTCAGACAACATTAATATCTCTCCATGTCTAACTCTTCCAAAAAATTGAAGAGCAGAAATACTTCCTTTTTTATTTCATGAAGGGAACATTACCCTAATACCAAAACCAAAGATGACACAAAAATAGAAAATTACAGGCCAATATCTCTGATGAACATAGAGAGAAAAGTCCTAAACAAAATTTTAGCAAATCAAATAAAAACATGCATTGAAAGGATCACACATCATGATGAAGCGAGGTTCATTTCAGGGACTCAAAGGTGGTTCCACTTCCACAAATCGAACAACGTGATACACCACATTAACAAAATAAAAGTAAAAATCCTACAATCATATCAATAGATGCAAAAAAGCATTTGGCAAGATACAGCATCCACCTATAATTAAAACAATAAATGGATATAGGAGGAAAGTAACTCAACATAATAAAGGCCATATATGACATATCCTCAGCTAATATACTCAATGGTGAAAAGCTGAAAACTTTTCCCTAAGATCAAGAACAAGACAAAGATGCCCTCTCTTGCCACTGTTATTCAACAGTACTGGAAGTCCTAGGCAGAGCAATCAGGCAAGAGAAAAAGAAAAGCATTTAAATTAGAAATGAAGAAATAAAACTGTCACTTTTTGCAGAAAATATAATTCTAGATATAAGAAATCCTAAAGACTCCACCATATGACTATCAGAAATAAACAATTTGCAGGATACAAATCAATATACAATAATTTGTTGCATTCCTATATATTAAAAATGAAATATCAGAAGAAATGAAGAAACCAGTCCCATTTACAACTGCAACAAAAATAATAAAATTAACAAAGGAAGTGAAAGACCTGTACTTTGAAAACTATAAGACACTGTTAAAAGAAATTGAACACAGAAAAAGATGGAAAGATATCCTGTATTCATGGATTGTAAGAATTAACATTGTTAAAATGGTCACCTCACTTAATGCAATATACAGATTTAATGCAATCCTCATCAAAATCCCAATGGCATTTTTCACAGAAATAGAACAAATAATCCTTAAATATATATGGAAACACAAAGGACCCCAATGAGCCAAAGAAATCCTGAGAAAAAGAACAAAGCCAGAGGTATCACACTCCCTGACTTCAAACTACACTACAAAGCTACAACAATCAAAACAGCATGGTACTGGGAGGAAAACAGATCAATGGAATAGCATTGACAGCTCAAAAATAAACCCATATACATAAACGGGCAACTATTTTTTGACAAAGGAGCCAAAACCATACATTGGCAATAGGAAAGACTCTTCAATAAATGGTATTGAAAAATCTGGAAAACCACATGCAAAATAATGAAAAGACTGTTGTCTGACACCATACACAAAAATTAATTCAAAATTAATAAAGACTTGAATCAATAAAGTATATAGAAGAAAACATAGGAGTAAACTTATGGACCTTGATCTTGAGGAGTTTTGTGAACTAGACCCTAAAGGAAAGGGAAATTAAAAAAATAAATAAATGAATGGGACTACTAAAAAGCTTCTTCACAGCAAAAGAAACCATCAACAAACCAAAAGACAACCAACCAAATGGAAGAAGATAGCTGCACACAATACCTCTGGTAAGGGTCTAATATGCAAAATATATAAAGAACTGATACAAATCTATAACAAAAACAATCTGAT